TCTGTCAGTAGCCTGCCAGATGTCCCAAGATTGCACTAAGTATGCGTCTGGGTAGGGAGGTGTGTGAGGATGGGGAAAAACAGGGTAGTGTTTAAAGAAAGAAAAAGGCAACCCCTTCCCTGACACCACCATCTCCTGGCTCCCCTCTTGCTTTCCTTCCACTTCTTTCCCAGTCTCTCATACTCATCGATGCTGCCCACACCTAAGATATCACAGCTCTAGGAGGCTCCATTCTTGGACATTTTCTGTTTTCATTCTAAAGTCATAGAGCCATTACCTTGAAAGACTACACCTCCCCTCCCCAGAGTACAGGAGAAGCGAACTTGATTTCTCCCCCGACTGCCCTTTCCTGTCTGCTTTGTGGGGCTCGTTCTTCCCTGCCCTCGAATAGAATCCCTGGATTCTATTACTGGAGTCCACAACTCGAATCCCGGGAGTCCACAACTCTGCTGATTCCTCACAGATAATTCATATTCCTCTGGTCATGTTTTGCCACAGAATGGGTTCATTTAAATCATTAACATGGCCAGTCCCATTTTATAATTAGAACTCTGTAGATCATTGGAAGCTAAAATTCTCCCTTCCCTCAACAAGTTCCTCCTTCTGAGTGGAAGTCTTCACTGGGAAGTCTACACCTCTTCTCTGACTCCTTATTTATATAACCCTCTCACTCAGAGCAGTCTCACTCACTTGCGTGCTCTCTCTCTCACCCAGAGCTGTGGGAGAAGGAAGTCAAGAGCCAGGAAAGGTCTTTCCTGTGTGATCCTGGCCCGTAGTCCAGCACTGGCTTCTCTGGATTTGATTGATGTTTGGTGTTGATTTTCCTCGTGGCTTTGTTCATGAGTTCCTTGAAGATTCCACTGCTAGGATTGTTCAGTTGCTTTTCCTGCAGCATGATGACGGTGTCTGGGAAGCCACTTAAACTTTCTCCCTGAGATGTTGCACTGGTCCTTCTCTCTGAGTGAGATCACATCACCCCTCTGGGTGCTCTGAGGGATGGTTTAAAATGATTGTGGAGTGTGATTCTTTTCTGCCATGTGGCTCTCTTTTGGTTCCCAAGAAACACTCAGGCCTTCTTGATCTCACTTGGTAGAAGTATAGCTAGCTCTTTGTGCAGCTCAATCTTTCTCTGCCCTGAAGCCTCAGGTTGATAGCACAGTCTCTGACCTTTACATTCCTGGGGTCTGTGTCAGACACCAGTCCTGTGTGTCCCCCAAACTCCAGAGGGCACCAACTAAAACTCTCTAAATGGTTTCTTTGAAGATCCTTTTACTATTTGAGGAGAGAGGGCATATCCTCCTTTATTCAAAGCAAATGCCACAGACTCAAACAACTTTCTCCCAAGGAAATTCTCACTAAAAAATCTTTTCAACTTCAACCCTGTTGTACCTGTAGGGGGGATATTAGATCAGGGGTTGAAAATCAACTTTTGGAAACTTCTTTGCAAATCCTGACTAGGTGGCCTATCACTTGCTTTGGAATATGGGAACAGTTGGCATCTCTTTTCTCAAGATCTCAGCTGAGAAGAGACAGAATAAGTACCATTTGAAACTCCTGGTATGTCCTTGTTCCGTGAGTCCATCCACGCCATTGACCTTTGCTGTCACTGGTATCCTGATGACTCTGAAATATACAAAGTTAACTCTTTCTTACTAAGGGGCAGGTGAAGATTGGTTACGGTATACCAAGGATGGAGGATGGGAGTAGTTCCCTAGAAGGAAGTAGCTGTGTTGCAAGCTTCGCCTGAGGTGCCCTGGTTGATTTACTGTTGGGGCACAGAACCCACTCAGGCAGTGAATCCTCTCTGAGGCAAGGCCTGTCTCCTTTTCTCACAGTCCTACTTTATCCATCTCCTTCTTAAAGGGAGGATCTTTGGCAGACCAATCAGGTCCTGTGCAATCACAGAGTTCTGTCCCTGTGGACTAGTTAAAATTAAGGACAAGATTGAATGGACACTAGGATATTGAGAACTGACTCTAATTTTGTTTTAATTGTGATCTTAAATTACAGTGATACTCTCTTCTCTCTGTACCCTATCATTTCTCTAATTAATACAAAATTAACTGCATCTCCCCCTGTGAGCTCCAGACACTCCACTGTGGACAATTTCACCTAGATGTTCTAAAGTGCCACGTGCTCAACATGAATAAAATGGAAATTGTGCTTTTCCTCCTCTCCAAAATGCATTTCTTGTACCATGTTCCTTTTCTTCTTAATGGTTTCATCATCCTTCCCTATTTGCAAACCCCAGAACCCTGAATCCAACTGTAACATTTTCATTTGCCATTCTCCCTCTTCACCCCACAACTGATCTGCTGCCCGATACCAATCAACCTGGCCTTGCAATATGTTGGGAATATGTCTCCTTCTCTTTATTCTTATTTTACCCTTTCATCATTCCTCACTTAGAAAATTGCATCAGCTTCTTTCTCAACTAGCTCCACTGCATTTATTCACATCCATCCATAATTCATTTTCTATAGAGCCATCAATGTAATTTTTTTAAAAAAGATTTATTTATTTTTAGAGAGAGAAAGAGTGAGAACAGGGAAGGGACAGAGGGAGAGGAGAGAGAGAATCTCAAGCAGACTCCCCGCTGAGCATGGAGCCCAACATGGGGTTCGATCTCATGACCCTGAGATCGTGACCTGAACCAAAATCAAGAGTCAGATGCTCAACCGAATGAGCCACCCAGACACCCCTGTAATCATTTTAAATCATGTCTTTTTAACTTAAACTTTTCAAAGTTTCCTGTTGCCTATTGTGATGATCTCCAAGGCAAATGGGGGCATTCCAGGCGTGCAAAAAGTGATTTTGGGGGGTATGGCAGGAAAATATTGGAATTTTTATTTGTATTTTGTTTTTATCTTTAAGAAAAAGAAAGAAATTGAGAGTTATTTAATCTGTGGCTTGACACTGGCATCCAGAGCCCTCATTTAGAGTGTAGGTTAAATAATCATACATGTTAGAGATGGAATCACGGGAGTTCCATAATGTAGAGTTCTTGACAATGGTGACCCTACTCTGGTTTTTTGGTGTACTGCAGCTTTTTGTTGTTTATGTGTTATGTTATTATGTTATGTAGTTTATATCCCCTTATTGAGGGAATTTACAAATTATATGAATGACTCTTAAGTAGTATGATCTCTATGATATTATATAGAGAGATGAGCATCTTTTGTAACACAAGATGTTTACTGATTTTCTCAGCAAATACTTGGTAAGTGTTGCCACACTTAAAGATGAGTTACACACTGAATTAGTTTGCCAGGACTGCAATAACCAAGTACCACAGAATGGGTGGCTTAAGCAACAGAAATGTATTTTCTCACTGTCCTGAAGGCTGGAAATCCAAGATCTAAGTGTTGGCAGGGTTGGCTTCTCCAGAGGGCTCTCTCCTTGGCTTTCAGATGGCCACCTTCTCCGTGTTTTCTCACATAGTCTTCCCTCTGTGCATCACATTTCTGGTGTTTTCATCTTCTGAGGACACCAGTCATATTGGATTAACACCCCACTCTGATGTCCTTATTTTAACTTAATCAACTCTTTAAAGGCCCTATATCCAGTCACATTCTGAGCTATTGGGATTTAGGTTTTTAACATAGGAATTTTAGAAGGACACAATTCAGCCCATAACACATTTAAAAAAAAAATTCAGCCTTTTTTTGATGAAAGATGGTGGTCAACATTATACTACCCAGCATGTATTTTAAAAAATAAATCAGTATACTTATCCTATCCCTTCAAGGTAAAGATGATGATTTAACAATGAGTGTAAAAAAAAAATTAGTTGTTTTTTTTTAAATGAAACTTGCATTATGGAGAGAACACCAGAAAAATGGATGTTGGCATATATTTTAACATTTAGGGCACCTGGGTGGCTCAGTTGGTTAAGCAACGGCCTTCGGCTCAGGTCATGATCCCCGAGTCCTGGGATCAAGTCCCACATCGGGCTCCCTGCTCAGCAGGGAGTCTGCTTCTCCCTGTGACCTGCTGCTCCCCCTCCTTGTGCGCTCTCTCTCTCACAAATAAATAAATAAATAAATAAAGCAATGAACATTACAACACCAATACGAAGTTTGTTCAGGTTGGATTCACAAGTATCAGTTTGATAATCATCATATTGGTGAGGTGTGAGAAAGCGTTTTTATCGGACTGGTGCAAAATTTTGGATGGTGATTTGGCAATAATTATCAAAACTTTAATAAAAATGCTTGGTCAGGGACTAATATGTTAAAGAGATTTTAAATAGTGTATCTTACCGATACACATGCACATAGGAGCAAAGATGTATGTACATAGATGGTTATTTCAGTATGTAATGTAATATCAAAGATAGCAACAACCTGAATTAGGAAGACAGTGTTAAATATACTACTACATATATATATAAAATATCTATAAAATGGAATACTACACAGCCATGACAAAGGATGACAAAGAATGCCGTGTGATGTGTGTATGGTGTATGTGAGAAAGAGAGAGAGAGAGCGAGAGAGAATCACACATACATTTGGGTCTTGGAATTAAATAATTCATGTCCTTTTTATCCATCTTCAACCTCTTTTGGAAGGGTAATGCATGTGCAAAACAGAATACAGCTCAGTGAGTCATGACAAAATGAATATTGTATAACTACTAATCTGATCAAGAAATTGAACAACGTCCATACCATTTCTTTTTACTTACAAATTGATGAATGCTTTCTGTCATTTAGAGCCTTTGTTCCCTCACTTGTAAATTGGGGACATTGACAGTACTTCTGCCATTGTGCTCCCCCAGCTCACAACGGACTTTGTGAGGAATGCGTTGTGCTTATAAATGGCAGAGAGCTTTGCAAACGGGGAAGATAATGACCATTCAGTGTGATTGATGTGTGAGGCCTGCAAGGATATCTTGCTTGAGGTTATCCTTGTGGTCTTCACTGCCCTGGGAAGACAGGATGTTGGGAAAACAACAGCACTCTGAGTAGAATGAACTGTTGGTCATTATTCTTCCAGGAATTTTGATATAAGGCCATCCAGTTCAGCCTGCCCTGAGAATAAAGAAGCTTCCTCGTTTCTCTGAATCCGTGAGTTCTGCAGAGATGGCGCCATGCAAGGTTCTGGGAGACTCTGTCACAGTTGTCCCTTTGCTGGAATGGTCTGCAAAGACTGGAGGGGGGGGTCCCCTTTCAGTAGTTTTGAGGGATGTGGAGCGATATGCCTGCCCTGCTGGGTTCTTTCTACTGCCGGTGTAGCCATGGGACCTCAGACAAGTCAACCTCACCGAGCCTGACTTCCCTCTCACCTTGAGGATACACCTAGTCCCAACCTCACAGGGTTCTGTGAGGGCCACTGCAAGACAATCCACATAAAGTGCCAGCAAAGTGCTTCACTTGGTCAGTGCTTAGAAACGTTTGCCGTGCTAATCTCTCAGAAGGCTTAACTGGATCATCATGGTGGATGAGACTGATACAGCATATGGGCCTCTATGTTTTCTAGACCTGAAGGCAGGCGGGCTAATACAGACCGGAGACTAGAACAGTGGTTTATGACTTGTTGCAACACTCAGACAACCCTCTATTTCTTCTAGTAGGTTTTTCTTGTACTAAGTGACAGAGTCCTTGTTTACTCCATAGTGACACATGGGGCTTGAAGTGCGAAGACAGGGATCTGTCAGGCTTACATAGGGGAAATGAGAGTAAAAAATCCTTGTTTGTGTGGGGAGGGATGTGGAAGACAAAACGGAGAGAGAGAGAATGACAGAAGTTTACCTGTGTAGGACATTATTTTAGAACCAGACTAGGGTAGAATGTTCTTTAAGAGAAATATTAGATGCTAAGGCAAAACATATCGTTTGTGGTCTTACCTGGAAGCCTTTGATACCAGCCTAGGCATTTAGAATTGATCTTGTAGGTAGTGGAGGACCATTGAAGGTTCTTAGACTAGTGACAGGTCTCCAGTATGGGAGACAATACTGAATTAGCAAATTAGTTAGGAAACAGGATAGTTATTATCTATAACTAAAGCATTATTATGTTCAACTCAAGAATAATCCCCTGGCACAGAGCCTCATGTTCTCAACATATGCCTGCTGCATTTTTTTTGAATATAAAATTGCTGTAGCCCAGATGTCACGGGGTCTCATCAGGCCTCTCCAGCTCTTTAATATAAAATGACTTTGCATTTTAGTTAAACCTGCAGTAAGTGACTCTAAGTCTTTGTCTTGCACATATCCAGCCCAAGGGATGAGATGAGGTTGGACATGGTGGCATCCCTCCACCCTCCTTGCTCCTCCTGCCCCCTGCCCTTAAATCTGAAACCAGGTCCTGGGTCCTGCTGATTTTTCTGGTTCTCCTCTGACACTACCTACCACCAAGCCCCATTTCTCCAAGCTTCCCAAAGTTCCATGGCAAGTATGGTGCAAAGCACTGATGGAGAATGGATAAAGCTGGACAAAATGCCATGAAGCCAGTACCACGCAATTCCATCAGTGGAGGGAGCCACCACTTATCACAGCCTTCTGCCTTTACAAACTATCCATGAGGTCCCCTCCATGGTGGGCACAGCCTCATCATGGGAACTGAAGGCTAAGAGGACAGGATGGGGGAAATAAAATCCAGTTTGTCTTGAATTTTTGACATTTTGTTCATGGCATCCTAATTGCCTTTCATACTTCCTTTGTCTTTTAAGCTTTTTTCCATCATTAAAAAAATGAATTGTGTCAGTTGCCCTGTGTCATTTGTAGAGAACTGTGAAAGTTAATTAAAAACAAAACCAAAGCCACAGATGTAATTATTACATAATGAGGTAAGGATAACATTATCTGATGCTATTCCACATATCCAAGAGTGAATTTTAATTAGAACCCCAGGTGGTTACTAAGAAATCAGGTATAAAGAAATTTTACCTTTACTGCCTATTTGCAAAATAATTATGCATCACGATTATTGCTTAGGTATAAACCAGATTCTTTGGGAATGCTCCTTAAAAGGAAGACTGTTTGTACTACAGTCTCGGTCTGTGCAAAACATAAGTAAACACACATGCCTTATCAAGTCCAGTTTCTTTAATCTGATACTGCAGGCATGTAAGATTTAGGACCATTTGAAACATGTAATCATCTAGTACCAAAAGATTAGATTCATTCTTTCTAGTTTCTCTAAAGTATACATATGAGATGTATCTGCAGTGGCAATGAAATAAATATTTTAAGGCATCTACTCCTGTCCTTACACATAATTTATAATACTATTTTATGACTATGTGTATATGTGTGTATGTGTATAAAATGCACAGTTCATTCCAGTACAATATATCAAAATAACAGTAATATACTTGTACATACCGTGAAATGGTGCTGAGCAACTGGTAAAGCTTTCTAGTAAGTAATCCCTGAAAGGCCCTTTCTAGAACCTAAGTCATGCTTTGTCTCTGTCTTGTAGATGGGGGGGGAGGAAGAGGGCAAAGGAGTTGATAGGATAGGGGGCAAGCAGGCACATTAATACCTCTTAACACCCATTGCAGAACTACCCTATGATCCAGCAATTGCACTACTTGGTATTTACCCAAAGGATACAAAAATACAGATTTGAAGGGGTACATGCTCCCCGATGTTTATAGCAGCATTATCAACAACAGCCAAACTATGGACAAACAATAGCTAAGTGTCCCTCAACTGATGAATGGATAAAGAAGAGGTGGTATATATACACACATGCACACACAGTGGAATATTACTGAGCCATCAAAGAGAATGAAATCTTGCCATTTACAATGACGTGGATGGAGCTAGAGTGTATTACGCTAAGTGAAATAAATCAGTCAGAAAAAGACAATACCGTATGATCTCACTCACGTGGAATTTAAGAAAGAAAATAGGTGAATATAGGGGAGGGGGGAAAGGAAAAGAAGGAGAGAGGGAAACAAGCCATAAGGGACTCTTAATGATAGAGAACAAACTGAGGATTGATGGAGGGAGGTGGGTGGGGGATGGGCTAGATGGGTGATGGGTATTAAAGAGGGCACTTGTTGTGATGAGCTCTGGGTATTTTAAGTGATGAATCACTAAATTTTACACCTGAAACCAATCTTGCACTGTATGTTAACTAAGTAAAAATTAAATAAGGAATAGCGTGGAGGACATTAGGAGAAGGAAGGGAAAAATGG